TTCGAGTCGTGCATGGAAATTTGAGACGTTCAACTGAAGGCATTCGGATTCTGAATGAGGAGCGAGTTTGTTTCGTACCATAGAAAGCTTAATTGTAGGGGTGCCCATGAGGGCGGCGATAACAAATAGAACACTTGATTGCAAGCCAGAACGCGAAAATAAATAACGTATCAGCAGGAGAGGAGGTATAATTATATCTCGAAATGTCACGGTGACTGCTCTCTCTTCGATCTTTCAGCTCTTTTCATGCATCACAACTCTTTCTCTGGGGATACCTTATAGACCTTCTACTAACTCTTAGAGGTAAGCGAAACCAGCCCTTTTGGCGTTTCGGCTGGGACCGTATGCTGAATGTTGGGGAGGGGATGGGGTCCCCAACGGTCGACGGTTTACTTCAACTCGGTTGGTACGATAGGAGAGTACTGACGCAAGTGGTGCAGCTGGTCCAGCAGCTCCGCCAGAAGGGCTGGTTTGCTCACCCCAGGACTAAGCCTTGGAGAGGGGACGGACCCGTCCTCTCTTAAGGCTTAGTTCTGAGGTAAGCACCAAATTGTGGCGGTTCTAAGGACCGAGTTGAAGTGGTCCGTCCACCGTCGGGGACTCCATCCCCTCCCCAACATTCAGCATACGGTCCCAGCCGAAGCGCCAAAAGGGCTGGTTTGCTTACGTCCTAACTCTATAGTATTGGAAATTTACTTGCATGCTTGTGCAGAAGAAGGATTACCTGCTCAATTCGAAAAAGAAACTCATATAAATCCGATAAATGAGCATTCTGAAAAAGGATGTTTACATCAGATCTCGTGTATAGCTTTTTAAGTTGTTAATATTCTAAGTTGTTGTCAATATTCTCAATGTATATGCCTTAAAGTGCAACATTCAAAGCTTTTTTTCGGCTCGTTTTATAAAAAATAGCAAACCAAGGAGTATGCTTTTTTGGAACAAGTGGAAGGAGGTGTTGTTAGTAGAGGATCTCTGTCAGCGCGACCCTGATTTGATAGGCCATTTTGCTTCTACTCAGAGCTAATCATGAGATTGGTTGCTCTGTTACCTGATGATTGTCGCCCAGCTCAGCAGAAAGAAATTTGAAAGTTTTCTGGTTATCGATTTGTGTGTTTCCTCATACATACTTTACGATCTGCATCTGTTAAGTGCGTAATTGTAAGGGTGTTCAAGAGGGGGCGATAACTTTTATCTTAGCGTCCTTCCATGTTGGAGAAAGAAACTCTGCTACGAAAAAAACGGCACCTAGTCAATGCCTAATAGATGAACAGCATCTGAACAAAACCTAAGAACCGTTTCCACTTTGAGAGTCGCAATGAAGAAATCCTTGTTGGTGTGTGACCGTGCGCAAATGCCCCTTAAGCCATGTTTAAGCAAGATTTATTGGGACAGAGCTCTGCAGCCACCCACCAACAAGGATTGGTAAGCGGACACGCCAACCCACCATGTAGGACCAGCGTACATGGATTTGTTTGTTATGATTCAGCAGGAGCATGGTAGGGTGTTGTACCCGCAGATCTCCAGGGCTCATATCACAGATCATCTCGCAGTTTGTTTTCAGTGGTGTGACAGCACTTCTAGTTCCGAGCAGACAAGTCTAGATAAGGTTGATATTGGGAAAAGGGTAATTTTAGCAGAGTCTATTCCAAGTAAGCGGTGATTGGGTTTTGAAGAATGATTTGTGGGGCAGTGATAAGAGTGTTCGGTGTGTCTTTATGGTGGCAGATAAGGTTCACGGATCGTGAAATCTATTGTTAGAAAGAATGGCTTGTCCAACTATCGTGAAGTGGCTCGATCAGAATATGATGGGCACCTGAAGGAGTGCATGGGGTGCATCATTGCTGTGTTCCGCCGAAGGTAGCTTTGTATTGTCAGTGATGAGAAATTCTCTTGTGGTAGCATTGTAACTTGTTGAATAGCTTAGTCAATGCGAGAATCCGAAACCCTTTTAAGTGCCCTTTTAATGTTGTCGTCTGACTCATCCTCACAACGGCTTGGTTGCGCTCTCCGGACTCTGATCGTCATTCATTCGATCGTCTGTTCAATCCTCCATGAAGCGAAGCCTCATCATACATCCTCCTCGTGCTAAGCCTAATATTCGTGAGTGAAATATTAGTGCACGTTTCATAGAATAGGTTTCTATGTGAACGTAGTACTGCGTGCGAGATTTTTGATGCTTAGAAGGGAGCGGAAGCATTATTTTCGAGCCTACCCTTGTAATTAGGTAATGGAAAGCTGAATGGTCGCTTTTTGTTCAAAAAATATTATACTTACACTAATTTGCAAGGAGAGATAAGTTTGATGCCTTCTAAATTCACGCAAGCTAATCAGTTTGTAGATAAATGAATCCTCTCGATCGATTGTGCTCATCCCTGTTGAACCGTCTAGATGAGGCTTTTCACAGTACTTGGGTATCTATAGCTATCTCACTTGGCCGTTTCCGGGATTGGGCACCACTCCTCTCCCCCGTTCCCTCGCAGGGCTGCCACTATCACATGTTGGAAGGTTTTTTCTTTGACGAGGGGCCTCTCATAAAGTCTATAACTGATGATTGACCTCTACGAGTCAGAGGCTTCTTTCCATATGACTAGGTTGGATCCTAATTTCCTATATTGAAATTCCGAAATACGATGCAAAGTGCGTCCTGAAGTCATCTCGTCGAAGACTGCCTATATTTTGTTGATAGATCGCCAAACGACCAATCTCTCCGCGGATGATGCTCTTTTTGCGATCGATCGCAGTTACAATCGAAGTCGGTTTCCAATCCACTGGATGATTGTGAATCCATTCGAACTTGTATGATTCAAGAATTGTAAGAGGCCATGTGGACCAGTTTGATTCATGAAAAAAGTGTACTGGTAGGAAAATGATAATGAATTCCGGTTAGAGAACTATCATGTATGGCATATGTTTGAAAGACGATTGTATAGCACAATCAGATGCTTATGGATTGTGGTTTTTAGCTTCTTACTTGATAGATGTTTTTTCAGAGCTGTCTTCAGAGTTTTTAGGCGCTATCAGAGAGGTAGAAGATATTAGTGGACTCACAAGGGGGGGGGGGTCTTTCAGGGCAAGCCGCGCTTTTTGAAACGGTTTCTGCATATTGTAGGGACGCATGTATGGACCACAAAACCATGTTTCGTTTTCGCTGAACGGTTTTAGTAGTACCAAAAAGTGGTGAATAATACTCTTGATGGTTCGATCCCCCGTGGCGACTAAATTTTGCAATCAAGGTTGGCGGCCACTTGTTGGCTTCAAAATGGTCCTGACGATGAATATGACATCTGATTTTGACATTTAGCGCCATTTGGCACCAACCCGTAGGCGCCAACCCAAATGCAAAATTTAGTCGCCACGGGGATCGAACCATTAACAGTACCTTATGCTTCTTTTTGGTACTGCTAAACCGTTCAGCGAAAATGAAACATGGTTTTGTGTTCCCTACATGCGTCCCTACAATGCAAGAAACCGTTTTGAAAAAGCGCGGCGATTCCCAAAGACCCCCGTTGTTAGAGCCTAGCATAGGGGCCGTCTATCAAGAAAAGAAGCCCTGCTTGAACAAGACATAGACATTATTTGCCTAAATATCCTTATAAGATCATGAAAAATTCAGAGGTATAAAGCTCTTAGCGTTCATAATAGTCGTTGTGGGATGCGTCCGCACTGGACTTTTCTTCATGATACTTTTCAAATATTTGTTTGAATCATAAAGTCACATGAAGCTGAAGTAAGGCTGGCGTCAGAGTCCGTGATCTTCCTGTACCCGTTCCACATATACCCTCTAAATCTGTTGAACTATTTTTTGAACGAAGTCAAGCTGATGTCTTATTTGCAGGGACGGTTTCGGTACCAACTTCGGTCCGAGTGGGTGATTTGGTCCAAGAACCATAAATGGTAGCAGCTCCACTTGTCATGACCTAACTCTATCCGCTGCTTTGCTAGTGGATAACTGTGGGCAGCTGTGGAGCCACTGAGACGAGACCGCTTCGTAAATCATCCTAAATTTTTAATCCTATAAGATTGTTTGTGGGCAGCCTCAATTTACTTGAAATTTTAAAGTGTTATTTCCACCATTGCTTCTATATTGTTCGTAAACCTCCCATGGGTATCAAAAATGTTCTTCACCTTGGTCAAGATCATTTCTCGCCTTCAGCGATAGAAGAAGTCCATTGTAAAGAGTGATCCGTTCTGTTCTAGCAACAGACCCGAAGGATCGATCGGTTGCTAGTAAAAAAAATTAATGAAAAACGAAATTATATGTCAAATCACTCCTAGACTGCGACTAGGTTTCGATTAGTTATGTACAAAAAGCTTTTTTTAGCACGTAGTATTTTCTTCTTTCTCAAAGCCTTGCGTTTGACAGCTTTGTGCTGCATGCAATTTCTGCACCTCTAGTGTTGACTCACTTAGAGTGGATACGTATTTAATGGATATGGCGAACCTGTGACGGTGTATTGTGGAGGGTAGGTGCCATAGCTTGGGGTGCCCGAAATGGATGTGAAGTTTCGCTATGGACAACTTCCTAGGCAGAGCTTCTCTTCTCAAAAAAAAGAGTGCAATGTCTTTGCATTTGGTTTTCAACTAATCCAACTCCACTAGGGGGTTCCAAAAGCGCTGAATTGTCCATTTGGCGTGTAGTTGAGGACTTTTTTTTTACTGTAGTGTGACTTCTCTTCAAATTGTGGACTTGGTAATGCATATTTATTTGCCGTTGGTTCTAACGGTTCTGGGAACATCTCACTTCTCGATACTTTGGCAATAATGAGCTTTATGGTGCTTATGACCAGCGGCGGCTATGAATTTCTTCGCAGTTGGGAATTCTGTATCCCCTTCCTTGTTCAGCAGATTGAAACTGGCTTCATTACCTGAATGTCGCTGGGTAATGGCCAAATTGTGAGCATTCCGAGAAACGTTGCAGTGTGTCTTATGTCTGCGCAGCATTTTCTCGGCGCACTCGCATTGATTTTTATCGGATTTTCCATTTTCATGGAAGTGCACGTATGCTGTTGTGTATCTTCAAGGCATTAGAGACCAGCAGATGTGGGTTGGATTGTGGGATAGCTGTTAATAGAAGGGAAGTAGAGAGATGTTTCCCCTGCCGAGCATGCATCATTGATGTTTATTCAGGGACGTCACGCGCATAATTTTTCTGGATAGGGTTTCACTATTGCAGACGCTGTTGTGGTAGCTGCTGTTTACTGGGGTAGCCGACCGGAGCCGGTGGTAGCGGCGGGACCTGGTCCAATTGGCGGTTGCACGTTTGCCAATATGCATGGTTCGCTTCGAAATGACAGCGCCCGAGACGTATAGAAAGCCTCGCTCGGAGCTGCACGGGGGTGGATGACCAGAGACCAACGATTGAATGGGATTCTGAGATATGCGCAACGCTGTTGCGATATTTATTGGATGAAGATGCTGAATGCTCAGTGTTCGCTCCGTGCAGCAGGGATGGATTTGTGGTTCAGTGGTTGATGATGATGATATGTAATTGACCAGTTATTAGTCTTCAAATTGCAACCTTTCTGACCAACCTTACTGGACAGCAATAAATAATGTTAAATTGGCTGTTTCATCATTATTTATCCCAATTATAGCGAAAATCGTACGTTAATAGCTTATGGCGTCTTTCGCCTCTGCTATTAACTTTTTCATCTGAAATTGAAGTTAGTCATCATCCATAAAAAAGCGAAGCAAAGGCGGAATCGTCATAGAGTGTAAAGATCATTTGAGAGTCACCTTCTGCAGATTCTTTACCTCAAAATTTAGATTACTGGAGATTTCGGAAAAAAAATCGATTTTGAAAATTGTGGGATACAAGTTTCCAAAAGCTGTGGACTGGTGTCGAGGGACAGATAGGGAGGGTAGATCTGTTTGAATAAGCTCTGTAAATCAATTAGGTGGCCGTCCCTCATGTTTTGGGAATTTCAGAGTGAATTCAGTCTCACAATACCTTCCAAGGAGCTCTGGTTCTGGTGTCTTTTCTTAATTCCCTTCCGCAAAAAAAGCAAAAGTTGAAAGGTTCGGTTTTTTGATTCGTGGCTTATGTGGAGTTAACATTAAGCCTTTTCGTTACCTTTTGCCGAAGGACGCTGCCCTACTCGTTTGGCGTCGACACTGTTAACCCCACATAGCACGGAATCAAAAAACCCGATACACCTATACTTGTATAGGAAAACTTTATATTCGCAGTATGATTTTCTGTTTTTTTGCACTTGAAACCTTAGGAGGAGATGGTGCTCAGAAAGAGACACCCATTGAAAGTGACTCTCTTCAAGTCGACTATACACGCTTATGTGGTCTTAATGAAGAAAATGTGGGGACTCGCAACCACCAAAACCTGTTTGAAAAGATTCCTGAGCTGTACCTTCTCTCGTGACGCAGTCACAAGGAGTCTGTTTTTGAGCGCTTCCTTGCTTATAGAAAAAAATGGCGCTCAGCAGATGGTAGCAAAAAAAAAACTGGAGAAGGCTCCGCGCCACCTTGCAGGATGAACATTTGTCTCTCTCTTAAGCCTGAATTTGACTGATCTCTGAACACAAAAACAATATGTTTGATTTAGCTAGCTAGTCAACCAATATATTAATTGCGACCGGGGGAATGTCGCCTATAGTTCAATTACTTGAAAGCCTTTGGGAGCAGCTAATGAGCCGCCATTTTATTCACGAGCTTTTGATCGGGGATGTGCACGGGAGTGCTTTTTTGTCATTTAAATGTTCTTAATTTCAACCCTTGTATTTTGTAGGCTATCTATTTTCTCAACCCCAATTTTTACAGCGTCAGCAAAAAACGGTATTAGAAAGTGTTCAGTAGTAATTGAGGGAGCAAGTCGGGGTTAACAGTGGCACCATCGCTGAGGAACAGTTCAGAACAAATCCCCGCTGTTCTCCCATTTAACAAAGAAATTATGGTTATTGATCAATTCTGATTTTAGCGCCCGGCACACGCGTCATGTTCCTGCTGAAAGAGAAAGATGACACGCCGGCGTTGTTTACTGAAATGGGCGAATTAGGCCTGAAAGAATGGAGGGAAACAGCACGTTGGGTGAAATTCGAGGAAGACGTGGAACAGGGTAAGCCCGTGGTGAAGAGCATGTTTCAAAGTTCAACTTGAATGAGATTTTTCAGGTGGCAATCGCTGGTCAAAACCACATGTGGCGACGCTGTCGCTTCATTCGTTGTTTCAGTTGAGAAGTTGCCTCCTGAATGGCCTGTTCATGAATGATATGCCTGAAACCGATCTGCCAGCAATCATCGGTTAGTTTTTGATAAGGTCAACGTGTTTTAAATTATCGAAGACATAATATTCTAGTTAGAGTCGTTAGAATCTACTTTTTGATTGGATGGTACCAATTTTCCGACGTTATCAATTACATGTACAAGTATCATGGCTGCGCTAGGCTCCCATATTTGGCTGTGTTGTTAAGGATGCTCCAGCTTTTTTTTCAGCCTGAAGTATTTACTCAAAGGCTCAGGTCATCTGCGGAGCTGCAAAGCCGAGCCGCTGGCTGATCTTTGATAGAATCATCAATCATATTTGAGGAAAGGATGTATGTGTTTGTGCCACGGCGTGAGTTCCGTGCATAGAGTAAAGTTGAGGAGGGGAGCTGTTCGATTTTTTTGCACGCGATCTTTGGTCAAGCTATGTAAGTCTAGTTTGGTACAAAGAAGCAAAGTTGTCTAGCCACTCCTAAGGATTGGGACATTTTCCAACGCGCTGGAAAAATGGTACCCTTCTTAAGGACCTGTTGCATTCAGAAGTCGAATATAATTAGAGAGCTCCTCTCTAGAAGATGCCCGCACAAAACTGACGAACACTATCGAAGTTTTTGCTGCGTTGCTCTGTTCCGGCGTTAATTATCTTGTTTGAAATTTATGACAGGAGAAATGCGACTCGTTTTGACGTTGTGGTTATAACTTGAATACGCATAGAATTCTATGAAATTCGCTAAGGTTGCGATGATAATGCGCGCGACAGATTCTTCTCCGCAGTTCTTTTGCAGCTTAGCAAATTTGTTCGGCAGTGGAGGAAAGAATAGGATTAAGGGAGATTGAAGCGAAGTTTGAGGAAGGAAGGGAGTACCGGACGCACGAATGATTGACGAGAGGATATGAGGGTGTGGAAATAGTATTTGTCTCTGTATGCTAAAATGCCATGGCATGTGGAAGTCTGCAGCCTTATTCGAACTGTCGAGTCTTGCCTTCTTCAAAATAAAAAGGCCAGATCTACACACATGATGTGATGGTGACTAAAGGGGTAATATAGTTGGTGCCTTACATATGAGTGAAGATATAAAATCGATGTCTGGATTAGTCTAATGTGTAATTACGCTTGTATGTGACAGTGGAGATGTGAAGTGGAACGTCAGTAATAAAAAATACAGGAGGGAAACTGTTGTCAAAGACGAAAATGAAGTCACCTCCTCTATTAGCGGCTGAGCGGAATAGCATTTATTTGTGGGTTGGGTTAGTGGTGCTGGACAATGCCGATGCTACATCCTAGGGCCTTAGCGTTTCGGTTTTGTCACAAACCACCCTATACTTTTATAGATGCTCCCGATGGCGAAATACTTTTTTCGAGGGAAGGCTTACTTCAACCGGAATCCCGGCCCTTGCATTCAACCAGCTGAGTAATCAAACACTTATCTCCAAACTTATTCAGTTCTAGAGGTTCGCTGCGAAGGACTTGATGTGTCATAGCATTGTAGGCTGCTAGGAAGTTTCGAGTGTCTTCAAAAGTAAACGTGGAGCGTAGCTGACTGTTCACAGGACCGCATGCAGTAGAGCGGGCTGTTGTCACTTTCACCATTGATAGTTAGGGCTTCATCCGAAGTGAAATGGTCGATGGAGTAATGGGAACGCAGTTTGGGAGATGTCGGCTATAGGTTCTCAAGGCGGCCCCCGGCGACAGTCCTCAAGAGTGTGGCGTTGAACCTCCCTCAGACATTTAGTAGACCTCTTGATCGGAATCCCGGGAAAGGGCTTCCTTATCCGATGTGCATGTTGGGAGGAACTGTTAACCCTTAAGTGTTTGATCCTCGTCAGGTAAAACTAGCCTAAGCTGCTTTGGCTGGTTGGAGATTTATACTCGGAAATAGATAACGAAGCTGAAGCGCATGGCAGTGTTCAACATTTCGGGCCTCAAACCTCTTCTGTGAGCACACGCTGCGATTTTTTCTCCGTTCATCGTTTATGTGGGTTCTCAACTGCCAATTACCTAGGTAATAGCAAACTGCAATGAGATAGACTGGGTGCTTTCAGGTGGCTTACCTATGTTATTACTGAATGCGGTAATTCACAAAAAATAGTTCACAGCAGTCGCCATAGCGACGTATGGGGCATTCTCAATCGTGGGTAAATCTCCAAAGAGCTCAATAGAAATTGTATATGTGTAATGCTTTCTTCTGGGGGAATGTCATCATATAGGCAAATAGCACTGGTATACTCATTACTTGAGCGATTGACGTCAATTGTATTTCATATATTACTGCCATGGCACAGCTTTTTGTTCCATTGGCACCTAAGTTCCATTCTTTCAAGGTAATCCTTGAAAGCGTAGCAAACATAATCATAGTTGATCTCCAGAAAGTCGACAAAATGTTGACCGCTGTATTGCTGTGTGGAAACTTCGTAACAATGTTAATTGGTGGAACATAGCTATGGGGTACTATTGGGTTAAATGCTCAGCTGGTGCCGTCCGGTTTTACCGGCTGGTATGTTATTACCCAGGCAAATCGCAGTTGACGACCCATATGAAAGGTAAACGCATAGAAAATTGCAGCATGTGCTCTTAGTAGAGGTTCAGGGCCCGGAATGTTGGATGGTGATGGATGAAAAGCGCGGGTCATTTCATGAGCTAACGCTTTGAGGGAAAAGAAATGCAGGCCTATGCGATAGGCGAACTACACGTGGGAGAACTCCTAATTATAACCGGCAATGGAATCTTAGGCTACCGGAGTGTTCCCAAACCATACTTTCTCACGCGAGTTAACCGGTTGCAGTACAACCTCAGAGGTCCTTCGTGATGAGCTCTTACTGAAAAGAGTACTGTGTAGGTCAGCTACATTGAGTCAGTTTTTTTTGCGTACAGGTTCCACCCAGTACATTAGGTCTCTGCCTTCTGTTTTAGAGCCCGTATGGTATGCGGCTCTGCGTCAACTCGATTATGGTGTTTATTTCCTTCCTACTGAAAAGGGCAATGTTTTAGACAGTTACCGGCCATGTTAACATCTCATTTAGAGTCGTTAACAACGGAGCTCTTACCTCTATGAGGTCGGTGGTGTAGTGAGATAAGCGCAAACACTTAAAAGGCAAGATTCAGGAATAAATTGGTGGGGTAATTCTATTCAAATGTGAAAGTAGGAGTGGGATGTGGACCGTCATTGGAAAAAAGGAAAAAAAGCCGTGAAAGAAGTTCGAGCTTTTTGCTCTACGCTGCGGAGAAGTTCAAAAGGCCGGCAGGGAGATGAGAGATAATGTGAGCGCGGAGAGCGCTAGAGAAAGTCTAAGTAGAGAGAGCATAGCAGATCAACATTCCGACGCAGACAAGATATCGAGCGGTGGGCGGAGCGTGTCGCAGCAGGTGGAGCGTGTCAAAGTTCTTAGCGCCTAGCGTCTAATAACGCTTTTCGAAGTAGGGAAGTGACTGCGACCGATACTCTACACTTGGTACTAGGCTTCTGCACCATAAAGCTTCATTGAATGTTGCCGTCTGAGGCCCGAACTTTGTCTTAAGGTTACTCATTAGGGAACTAGAGGCTTTGCCCTTCGTATTAGCTATCCAGCCCACTTCCTGTTAGCTTGCGAAGGGCAATGTTAATGGATTAGGATGAAGAATATGGTGAGAAGCGAGTAAGCAGTTCCGAGTGAATTGCGATGAACTTGAACTCGCGAAACATGTATCAATTTTTTGGGGACGATTTCTGCTTCATTAACGTGGAAGTTTTTCTGGTATTCATGCTTACATCTCGGAGCGCACTATGCTCCCAAGCGCAAACGGTTTTTGTGCTTGAAGAGTCACGGAAACCCTTTGACGTAGTTGCTCTGATAAGAAGTGTTCCGTTCGTTGAGCAATAGATATGCTGGTAGAGGTCCAAAGAAGGAGCCCTACAACTTTTTTTAGCATTGAAGTTCTTCAATACGGTGGAAGGGACGAAAGGTTGATTCCTGGCGGGACAGTAGTCCTTGTAAGGGCAAATAGATACTTGTATAGCGAGGTATAGTAGTCTGGCTTACGACAGTGTCCGTAAGATCGGTCTAGACTTTAACGTGCCAGGAAAGCGGCCAAGAGGACGCCCGAAGCAACGATGGCTTGATACGTTGCATGAGGACTTGAAATTAGTTGGCCTTCATCCCGATCAGGCACATAATCGGGAAAAGTGGCGTCAACATACCAGGAAAGCGGACCCCGCCACAGGGTGGGACAAACGCTGAAGAATAAGGTATAGTAGGCTTTAGAATTGGCGGGTGTTCCGGTGCACTTAATCTCAAGTGGGTTCCTCTGACAATTCTCATTCATGGATTATGATATCTTTGAGATCGTAGTAGTAGCTGTTTTTGAGTATAATGACAGGAACTTCCTTACAAGGCACTTTGCCCGCCACATCACATAAGCTGCGGTGTGTTGTGGCTATTTTATTGCTGGCGGGACATTCTCAAAAAAAGTAACCTCAAGTGCATAATTTTCGCTTTGCCATTCGTGATATAAGCCATTAGCGGCTGACATCCTATCTGAGTGGTGTTGTTCTATGTGTCGTTGTACCGAATAAGGGATAAAAAAGCGAAAGGATGAAACATCAGGAACATTACTGGCTGGGGCAATCCATTAATAGAGCGTCCAAGGCAGAAATAAAAATGACGTGTCGTCAGAAAATGGCGTGACTCGATAGATTTTATGTCGTTAACTGTGGTTAGAAGTTGAAAATGGGATGCTGGATGTTGTTATCAACACTCAAGTAAAGTATGCGCCATGATGAAGTATAAGCGAAAGCGTGGGCTGTGCTGGACCAATGCGCCACCATAGTTCGTTTCAGTAGGCCCTACTGGACAACGTAACTTTTAGTGAGCTCAGATCTGTCCAACTTTGAGGCATATTCGGCACATAGAGTTTCAGAGTCGTCACACAAAAGGCGTCAATTTGGTTCCGACGGGCTTTGCATGTTAATCACATTATGGTTACCGTGACCATCATTTGTGGTCTGTTATTTTTTGTGGGGCGTGAACAGAAGTGACCGGTGAAGGTTACAAAACGGTATTTACGTCCCAGACCATGGTATTACGGTGTCATGTTCGCTGTTCGGACGATAAAGCTTCTTGAACCTTTTCATTGGCGGTATGTGACACTCCCACGTTGGGAATGAGTCCTGCACCCTCTGCGTCAGTGGTCTCGATAGGTCTCGAGTGGTAGCGGTACGCGTACCCAGTTGTAGGGTAGACCGACGTTTTGAAAAAACGCAAGGTGTAAGGGATCTGTAACCGGGAAGCGAGCGTTGCACACAGTCCCAGGGCGATCTCAAGTGAACAAAGGGAACGTGTGCTTATAAGGCGGGCAGTGGTCTCTGTTTTGTAGTTGTAATAATACAGAATCAGTTTGATGTATTTGGGGGGGGGCTGGGGGCAGGGTCAACCCTACGTTGTTACTAGTAACAACGGGGGGGGGTCGTACCTGGTTGAGTTTATAGGAGGGGGGGTCGTATCCGCTTCAGTCGCGTGAAAGTACATGTGAGTTTGTGGTGAAAGTGGAGTTTTCACGAGTAGTAGGCTAGGTGAGTTGGGAGCGCATGGGAGAAAAATTCGCCGTTTCAGCGCGCGTATATACCCCCCTAGAAAATGAAGCAGTGGGATTCCGTAATAACTTCGTATAGCATTGCATTGGGATTTTGTACGTACATAGAGCGTGGTGATCATCAAAAGGGATTGTTAGCAGCTAAAATCTGAAAACTCAAGTTTTTTCTTCCAACATTTCCAACAATCGAGAGCATTAGGAACTTGTGCATCTACACCTAATTCACCCCCTTTTTCGATTTGATCAGACTGGAAACAAACCCAACATATGGGGGGGGGGGAATCGAATGGAATACAAGCATCCTTTGAGGGGAATAGAATGCAAAAACAAATAGAAATTGCCAAGGCGATAGTAAGGTAGAGGATGTTCCAGAAAGGTTAGTGTTGTGCTCAACACATAAGGATACGTAGCTAAATAACCCTACCTTCCTCTTCAAGTTCTTCCTTTCCTTTCCCCGGTCCTTTAGGACATTTCGAACGCCTTCCAGAAGCATCTCTTGACCCACCTCAAAAACACACATTCATATATTGGTTGGAAGATATGTATCAATGAAGCCCCTGACTCAATAATATATTTAAATACATCCGATAAACCCACGACTTGTGGACTCTTACCTGTTTCCTTTTTTCTTGCGAAGGAATTTGATTTGGTGGCTCTATACGAATGGTTGGATCCCATTCTCCAGGTGGCCAATGTACCGTAACCTTGAGAACAACATCTATCTGAATCGACCGTCGCTTCATCAACACTAACAGGGGTGTATTATTGTAAGAAGATGCTAGCGTTGGACTTTAGAGTGCGAAGAGAGCAGATACGGACAAGGAGGGCGATCTTCCAGTAAAGAGGGAAGGGGGGGGCATGCGGACCAGTTCATCATCACCTAAAATTTATCCAATTTTTGCCATCATAAGAAGCTGAGGCAAGGGTCGTCCTATCGTTGTACTTTTCGAAAATTTTTTACGACCCCCTCCCCCAAGGTGGATTTGATACGACCCCCTTTTCCCTACCTCCACCATCTCCATCTTCCATCAAAACCCCGCCCACTTTTCCTCCAAAATGCCGTCGAGCGGGGGGTATATAGTCACTCTGAAACAGTAAATATCTACCAAAATTCCCTATCTTCGCATTCCCACCTCCAACTTCTACCTATAATCCCACTCAATTTTTCCCGCGCACTCCCCACTCATCTCATGCAACTTCTTACAATCGAAACAAGTACGACCCCCCCTCCAACCTAAACCAAGTACGACCCCCCCGTTGGTACTTGTACCAACGTAGGGTTGACCCTGACCAGGTGAGGCGGAAGTCGAAAGCGAAACGTCACCGCACCAGGCTTCGCGCCCCATGCAAAAATTGTAATTCAAAAAGGAAAAAGAAATTCAGAATGAAAACCTGCTCATGAGACGAATTCAACGAGAGAAGAGTGATAAAGGTTGAGAAAAAGTAAGATATGTGTATTGGAAGGGCTACTTTATGAGGAGGAGATGAATTTTGGTAAAACAGTTCGTGCGGACTACAGTATTGTCGATTTCTGAGTGGGCAGGGAAGCTTCGCGACCCGTTTCATATGCGCGAAGGTCATTTCTATCTAAACGTTTAATAAAAAAGAGCTTTAGCTGTAACACTAAAGCCTTGAGTGTTCTAACCGACATTCCTTCTCAGCTTATTAGGAAAGATCCATACTTTGAAAAAAAGGACGCATGATGTGATGTACAAATATGTGTGGCTAATCAAAAAATCGACGTCCATTTCGGTTCGCATATTCTTATGACAGAAAATCCAGAAATAAAATATTGTGGAAATCGGCATAATACAACTCACACGTTCGATTCCTTACCTGATCTAAAAACTCGTCAACGCCATCGAGTAAGTCCTCCTTATTTCGAGCTTTGTACGCGACGTCGTGGAAAATCTGAAATCATTTCCTGCGACAATGTAGCACTGCTACATACTTTTCATTTGAGATATCACGAACACACCTCATCAGCCATCAAGGTAGCTATTGCACGGCCAATCTCCTTATACTGAGATCCGTGACCAGTTGGACCAAGCATCAGGAAGATGAATCGAGTCGGAACGGGAACCTCACAAGGTTGAATCACTGCAGTAAAGATCCCTTCACCACCTTGCAACAAGCGAAATGTCTACTTAGCTTGCGTTATTATTTTTCAAATTCTAGAAATACACCCATATGCTGGACGCACTGCTAACTACAAAGTAACCCGAGAGCTAAACCATTTTGGGAGCTCTCGGAGGCTCGTTTTCTCAAATGCTTCCAAACTTGACTCAAATTCACACCGAACTGTCTCGCGATGCTGAGTGTGTGTTCGAGTATCACACTGAGAGCTTGCAAAACTTTAATATTTCCCTCAAAGAATCCATATAAGGGTAGAATACAGATTTCCTATAGTTTGAAGTTCCAATCAGCCAAGTGCGTTCCAACTTCTGCACGCAATGGCGCCAGTACATATTTTGACTAGCCAAGACTTTAATTCCCAAGTTACCTCCGTCAGTGTCCGAGAACGTTGGGCCGTCCTCCAGACGCTACAAAATGCGCAGATAATGAGGTTGCAGGAAATCCACCTAAACGAAGGAAGCTCTAAACCGATCTCCACTCATTACCACAGCGAGTTAAAATTTGGAACACCTTGGTCATTTGGTTATAGATTCCAAATTTACTTAGAGAATTCATAATCTCCTGGAATTCTAACGCAACAAAAAGAAGGTAATAATTTCTAGCTGTAGGGCCCAGACTGCCAGAAGCTCTACGGACACATAAAATCTTCGATGCTTTCCCCGACCCACTCCGCAAACATCAAAATTCCGTGGTACAGCTAATCTCTGTTTCTCTTTTGTTTTTGAAACTAGAACTGGTTAACACATTGCGTACCACGTGCGCCACCATGTGGCGCACGATTTGGAGCGGAAGATCATAGTCCTTATCTGATTTATTTGGCATTTTTCAATGCTCCTTATGTGCTTGCACTCATTTTCAGAACCAGGAAAGCATAAGTATCATCACTGATAAAATTGTTGATAGATTAATGATGATTCATTTTTTAAAAACATGAAAAAGGTATGGAGATGCTCGTATAAGGGCGGTCCGCAATGTGTTAAAGAAGCAGAAACGGGAAAATGTTACAACTTGGTCGCTGAACGCCTCGCGCAGGGACCGGGGATCCAATTCTGAATAGTACGCATTTATTACACAAGCCCTGCACCCGTATGGGTTGATCAATTGGTACAAGACTTGTCTAGGGAGATGAAAAACACTATAGTTGGTCCGTGCGAGTCATTGCATATCAAATCAGTTTTCAACACGATTCTGT